CAAACAGCAAGGACAACTACGACCAAAAAATAGGTGGGCGTTGTGGTGGGTGCCTGTAGTCCCAGCTACTTGGGCGGTGGAGGCAAGAGAATAGCTTAAGCCCAAGAGTTGGAGGTCACTGTGAGCTGTGACACCACAGCCCTCTACCCAGGGCAACAGCTTGAGACTCTATCTCAAAAAAAAAAAAAAAAAATTAACTATAAACGTAGATGAAATTAAGAACATGTTGTGAAAAATAACTTCGTTTTTACAAAGTTTCCATCAAACTCAGCAACCCTCACAATAGGATATATGACATTACATACCTTTTAGTGTGACAGTTTGGTATAAAAAATTTTACATCACCTATATTCTTGCTAAAATTATTTAATCCACTTCTAATCTAGACTTAACTTCCAGTTTATAGAAAATAACACGGGCTAGAAGTTAAATGATACTATAAGTAAATAATCGAATAAATCCAGAATGGGTACAGTCTAAGTAATCTTGCTGAACTCGTTAAAAAGTCAGCGTTATTAAAAAACAAAGCAACTATTTTAGATTAAAAGACTGAAGAGACATAACAACTAATAGCTGTACATGAATTAAACTGGATCTCAGTTCCAAAAATCATAAAGAGCTTTTCACAAGATGGCACCGAAAGCAAAGGAAGCTCCTGGCCTTCCCAAAGCCAAAGCCAAGGCACTGAAGGCCAAGAAGGCAGTGCTAAGAGGCACAAACAAGAAGATCAGCACATCACCTACCTTCCGGCAGCCAAAGACTCCAAGGCTCCAGAGGCAGCCCCAATATTCTCTGAAGAGCGGCCCCAGGAGAAAGAGACTTGACCACTGTACCATAAGCAAGTTCCCCCGACCACTGAGTCCGCCATGAAGAAGATAGAAGACAATAACACACTGTGTTCACTGTGGATGTCGAAGCCAACAAGCACCAGATCAAACAGGCTGTGAAGAAGCTCTATGACACTGATGTGGCCATCAGGCCTGAGGGCGAGAAGAAGGCATGTGTCCCACCGGCTCCTAGTTACAATGCTGTGGATGTTGCCAACGAGATTGGGATCATCCAAACCAAGCCCAGCTGGCTAATTCTAAATATATAACTTTTCACCATAAAAAAAAAAAGCAAAAAGAAAGAAAAAGTCTATAAAATACATTTTGTAACATCTAGGAAAATATGAAAATAGCCCAGATACCAGATCGTATCCCTGCTAATTATCTTAGATATGCTAATGCAGGTGAATGGCCTTATTCTCAGGACATAAAAGGTTGAGGTGCCATGATGTCCATAACTCACTTTAAAAACAGTGTTTTACACACACACACACACACACACACCCCAGTGTTACAAAAGTGAATTGGGGAAGGGGGAGTGAAAATATGGCAAAATGTTAGTTGTTAAATTTAAGGAAGGTATGTTCCTTCAACTTTTCTGTACATTTGAACTTACAGTATAAAGTTGGGGTGATTATCTTGAAATATCACCTCTAAGCTATGTGGATCAGAATGTGAAAGGGAGAATCCATGGATAAAATCCAGTGAGCTCCCAAACCTGCATGCAGACTCAGATACATGATTATGTATGATGTATGTGTACATACATAAATTTTTGCAGGGAAAGGGCTCACAGTTCCCATCTAATGTTTATTCAGAGTAGTCTATAATCCACCCCCCAAAGGTACATATACCACTCTAGAACAACAACAACAAAATAACAAATAGACTTAGTGGCTAGACTAAATAAAACTTCACACTTGTAAAATAGGTACTGCTTACATTTTCAAAAGGAAGTAGATCCAAATCCCATTATAATCTCAAAAATACTTCAAGATGTTTCCAAGAGGTTCTCTCCTGGAAGCTGTTTTAACTCACAGTAAAGGCAGAGAGTTCTCCAGGAAACACGAGGAGACACAAAGTTGGCCTTTTGCAGCTCTACACTGATGTCCACCTTCAGGTGCCCCCAACCAATGTGGGTGCTGCTTTCCACATCATACTCCTGACTCTAAGGACTTAGCTCCCTGCATTACAATCATCAGGTTGCCACTCTGTCTCTGTACTCTTTCTTCATAAATCAAATCAAATCAAGCAAAAGATATGAAAGAATGGCAGAGACAGGGGTAGGAATACTATTTTTCCATGCTGCAGTCCCAGTGAGACAGTACCCAATGTACATCTTCTTTTGATGTTAAATTCTTCCAAGGGTCCTTTATTGGTTTGGTAATCTACAAACCTCTTTTTCGTAGAGATGGGGTCTCACTATGTTGCCTAGGCTGGCCTCAGAATTCCCATGGTCCAGTGCTCCTTTCACTTTCAGCTTCCTGAGCAGCTGGGACTATAGGTATGTGCCATTGCACCCACTTGCCAACTTTTTTTTTTTTTTTTTAAGACAGGGGAGTACTTTCCTGGAACAAAATTCCACCCTTAGTAAAAGCAGTCATTAGGATGGAGGCTGGGGCCAGAAGACCCCATTGTCCACCCTGTCAGCTCTTTCCTCACATCTGCCGGATCTACAGAGTCCAGTCCAGGTGTGCCAGTGTGGCCTCAATGCTCCCCACGGCCATGGAAGGACTGACTCCTCCAGCCTCAGGAGGCCCTCACATTCCATGAGAGCAGCTCTGAACCACACCCTGGGGTGCATAGACTTTATGCTGGCAATACCTTGGAATTTTGCAGGGGATGCCTGTAAGGCCACCTACAGTCTTGGCATGGGAGTCACAGTTGGCTTTCCTGGGATACAGCAGCAGCATAGTGTGTATGGATAGGCCTGTCTCCTCAACAGGTGCCCAAGCACTGGTGGGTCCCCTGCCTATTACACTACACATGTGCAGTCTGTTGGGACACTGGCTGGCATGGCTCATGAAGGGTTCATGAGTAGAACCTTACAGAGGGATCATGGCTTCCATCACTCTAGGTGAGGAAAGAACATGAAGTCAAGAACTTATAGATTTTTAAGTGCCTTCGTATCTGTTCCCTCATTTGATCACTGCAAAAGCTTAGAGAACTGGGCAGGGAATAATTCACACACCTTGACACAGAGGAGGAAATTGATGCAGGAGAGGTTAGGTGCCTGAACAAGGTCATTAATGGGCCACAGCACATATCTCTTTGAGGAGACTGCAGAGGTTGTAAAGACCCATAAAAATAAAATTTTAGAATGAATAAATCTCAAATCTTACTATAAATACACACAAATCCTGAGGAGCAACAGAAGTCTTTGGGGGAAAGCAAGGAAGAAACCTGGAGTTGCAAATATCTTCACATAAATTGGATAATACTGATTTAGTAAAGATAAAAAATGTTTTCCCTTTTTTTACTTCAAATAACAGAAATATGACATATGCAGTGACTAGAAGAAAGCAATCTGGTAAAAAAAATTGGCTAAAAAATAAGAAGTTACGGTTCTATATTACACTAATTGCTTTCACCACTAATAAACTTCTAGCATGAAATGGTCATTTTATAGATTTTGTTACACTTGGAAAGCATAAATTTTATGTTTACAAAGGTTTTAAATAGCCAATCCTTGTATCTTAAAAATGAACTATCAGTATATAATTTTATTAGATTATATATTATCACAAAAGTCAAACACCACATTAAAGAAAACCCTGAAATTAGATTTTAAAAAATGAACTGTGGCAGTAGTTCACTGCCATAAAATAATGACTTATGGCATTTTGACTCATTTCCTTACAGCTCTTTCTCATGTGGACTGGCTTCTTCTGTTGTTTTATGACGTGGTAACATACCACACAGCTATTCTGTATCCTGATTTTTTTGGCTTAATATCCTAAGAGCTCCTCCAAATTATTACATGGTCTTTATGACCTCATTCTACAATTTAATGAACTACTATATAATCTTTTAAGTATTTATACCACAGTTAGTTAACTATTCTTTTACTTTTAGGCAAGTAAGATGTTGTCAAATTTTTACTGTCGTATATAATGTTTTACTGACTCTTTCATTTTCTTCCTCTTTGTTTCTTTTAGATAAGTTTCTAAAGTATATTACCAGATTGAAGTAGATAACAATGTTTAAGACTTCTAATCTATTCTGCCAAATTGCTCCCTTGAAGTCAAATATACATTATCACCAGCAATGCATGAGGAGGCGGCTTAGTACTCTCATCAGTAAGCAGTAAAATCTTTTGTGTCATTTTTTGTTATTAAGTGAAAAATATGCCCTCGCTGTGCTCATTTTGCATTCATTTCTGAGGATGTTTTTCTATCATACAATTACTAACTACTTGAATTTCTAAAGTTCTTATTCTATAATTATGTCCATTATCCATTTATCACTTGGCTATTCACGTAGATTTTAAAATAAAATTTGTATGAACATTTAATGTAATCAAAATGTTAACTCAACGTTCACCCAATTCATAGGTAATATTATTTCTCTAACTGATGGTTCATTAAATTTTTTTGTTTTAATTGTAACCTGGACCATTTTATCTTTTTTTTTTTTTTTTTTTTACCATTCTGATTCTTTTCTCCCCCTTTTTATAAGAAATGAGGTCCCACTCTGGTGTCCAGATTGAAATACAGTGGGGTAATCCCAGCTCACTGTAACCTCAACTCCTGGGCTCAAGCGATCCTCCCATCTCAGCCTCCCAAGTAGCTGAGACCACAGGCACACATCACCATGTATGGCTAATTTTTTAAAACTTTTTGGTAGAGATAGGGTCTTGCTATGTTGCCCAGGCTGGTCTCAAACTCCCAGCCACAAGCCATTCTCCTGCCTCAGTCTCCCAACACTCTGGGATTACATGTATGAGTCCTTGCACCTGGTTACCCTTTTTCTCTTTGCAGTTTTTGGCAGGGGCTGGGTTTGAACCCACCACCTCTGGCATATGGGGCCAGCGCCCTACTCCTTTGAGCCACAGGGGCCGTCCACCTTTGTGATTCTTTATGAGGCTTTTGCACTAGTCTCCCCTCTTCTACCCCTTTTTCCTCCTTAGTTCCCACGGTTTAACATTACATATTCACAGTCCAGAGGCATTACCTGTTGGTCATCAGGAGTCCATATGCCACATGTGATTTGACTTTCCAAGTTGATCTCGGATGACCAGTGTCTTTGTCCACTGACAGAACCGACCAGGACAAACCCATCTCGATATGAAATAAGTGCTTGAGTTCCATCATGGCTCCATGTGAAATCACTCACCTTTGGAACACATCGAGAAAAGGGGTCAATTCATAATCTGAAAGGGAAAGTACTTTTATCATTGCCTACATTTAATCCTTATCCTTTTAGCTAAGATCGAGATGGTCTTCAAGAAAACAATATAAAAGACATTATTTGAAAAGCTGTAAGAAAAATAGTTGAAACCAACTACCAATGTGTTCACACCTGTTAATTCATTGAGCCTATAACAACTGCCTTCGGAGGTATTCATGTCCCTGCCTGTAGGGAAGACCAAGGCACAGGCCACAAGTAACTTCTCCACAGTCACACACAGTGGGGAGAGGCATCACCAACAATGACTCCAGGGACTTCAGCTGCACGCTACCCTGCCTGCGCTTAACAGTTGATAAAAAGTTCTCCATCAGTTTCTTATTAGTCACTTAACAAAATAGTAAAGCTCTTAAGTTTCTGATTACATTTTCCCTCAGTCTTGCTAAAAATATTCCATCAATAAAAATGAAGGATAAAAAATCTAACTAAAAACATTCCTTAACACTTGGGTATTAGGTTTCCCAAATTCATTTATTTGCATATGTTCAAATTATCATTTTTTCCCCTATTAATCTATTATGGTAAATTACAGCATGGATTTTCCATTATTATACTATCCTCGCATATCTACAAGAACCCAAGTTAGAGGTAAAGTCTGGTCTTTTATACACATAGTTGAAGATGATTCGTTAACATATTTAGAATTTCTGCATTCTGTATTCATGGAATGTTAACAGACCTGTGATTTCATTTTTGTGGCGTCTTAGTCTGGATTTATGAGTTATGATAACCTCCTCAAAATAAGCTATAGGATAGTCCCTCTCTTTCCACTGCCTAGAAGAATTTATATAAAACTGGAATGACTTGTTACTTGAAAGTCTGTTAGAACATGCCTGTAGAATCACCAGGCTATGTATTTTTTTAATGGGAAGATTCTTTTCTTTTTTCTTATTTATTTATTTTTTTGAGACAAGAGTCTCACTTCGTCCCCCTGGGTAGAGTGCCGTGGCGTCACAGCTCATAGGAACCTCAAACACTTGGGCTTAAGTGATTCTCTTGCCTCAGCCTCCCAAGTAGCTGGGACTACAGGTGCCTGTAACAACATCTGGCTATGTTTTTGTTATAATTGTCATCGTTGTTTGGCAGGCCCAGGCTGGGTTCGAACCTGCCAGCTCCGATGTATATGGCTAGCACCCTAGCTGCTGAGTCATAATGGGAAGATTGTTAACCACTACTTCAATATAATACTCTTAGCACTAGTCCGACTTTTAAGCTTTTTACCTCTTCTTGAGATAGTTCTAACAGTTTTTTCTTTAGGAAATTGTCCAGTTCGTATAAGTTTTCAAAGTTGTTGGTAATTGTTCATATTCATTTATTTATCATTTTACTTTACACGCAATGAAATAACAACCCCTTACCCCCAAGCAATGAATCCCTAATCTACAACTTTAGTCTTAAGCAAAAAGCAATCTGATTTCTATCACTAGTTGCTTGCTTTAGAATTGTTCATAAATGAAACCGGACGGTAGGTTCACTTTTACATCTCTGACTGCTTTAAAAAGATTTTGAGAGCCGTCTGAATTCTAATGTGCATTGGTAATTCATTCTTTTTATATGTGAATACTGTTCTGTTGTATGAATACACCACAATTTGTCTATCCAAATTAATTTTTGGACATTGCCAGTATTTGGTAATTATAAAATCACTGTGAACATTTCGCAGGACTTTTTGCGACATGTGGCTTCATTTCTTTTGAGTAAATAAATGGGATGGAATTAACTGAGGGGTCACATATGAAAATCTATATGTAGCTATGTGAGAAATTACCAAATTGTTTTCCAAAGTGCTCGTGCCACTTTCCATCAGCTATGTATGAGAATACCAGAAGATCCACACGTTCCCAATACTTGGTGTTGTCAGGCTTTTTAATACTAGCTGTTCTAGTAGGTGCACGGTGACATGACAATGATTGATATATTAAGCATCAATTCACGTGCTGGTTGGTCATTTGCACATCTTCTTGTGGGGCCTCTCTCTTCAAATCTTTTGGCATATACAGCCTGCCCTCTACATGGGTTCTGTATTCGTGGATACAACCAACTTTGAATTGAAAATAACTGGAGAATACATCTGTAATGAACATGTACAGACTTTTTTCCTTGTCATTATCCCCTAAATACAGTATAAAAATGACTTATTTAGCATTTGGACTGTATAACATATAATAAGTAAATCTAGAGATGATTTAAAGTATGCTGGAAGATGTACATAGGTTATATACAAACACCATACCATTTTATAATCATGGACTTGAGTATCCATGGAATGTGGAATCTGTAGGAGGTCCTAGAACCAGTCTCCCATGGATACCAAAATATGTTATGGTATGAAATATGTTATTTATCAGTTTTTGGACTACTGATTGTATTGTAAAATTTCTCTATGAATTCTATAGATAATCTTTTTATCAGTATGTGTATCACAGATATTTCATCCCAATCTTTGTCTTCCTTTTTCATTTTCCTAATGGTATCTTTCAAAGAGCAGAAGTTTAAAATTTGCTTTAATTTTGATTTACAACTATATACATAATTTTATTTATAACACATGTATATAATTATATACATAATAATTGTATGTATTTATAGGATGATATTTAAACGCATGGATAGTATGATGATCAAATGAGGGTAATTACCATATTCATCACTTTACACATTTATCATTTCATTGTGGTGAAAATATTAAAATCTTCTTTTTTAGCTATCTTGAAATACACCTGCATTGGTATTTGCTATAGTAACTCTACTCTATAGATAGGTAGATAGAACACCAAAACTTACTCTTCTTAGCTATAACTTTGTACCATTAAATTTTGATAATGTCCTTCAGATTATTAATTTGTGATCTTTCTATCTTTTTGATTTAGGCATTTAAGGCTATGAATTTTCCCCTTAGAACTGCTCTTCCTGAACCCCATAGATTTTGATTGCTTGTGTCTCCCTTTTGTCATTCATTTCAAAGAATCTTCCTATTTCTATCTTAATTTCATTACTGATCCAATAATCATTCAGCAACAGGTTGTTTAATTTCCATGACTTTCTGTAGAATCAGTGCTCCTCTTTCTCTTGGAGTTGACTTCCAGTACTTTTTCCACTGTGGTCTGTGAAGATAAATGGTATGACTTTTTTCAATTTAAGCCATGTTTTGTGGCTTAAAATATAAGCAACCTTGGAGAATGTTTCATGTGCTGATAAAAAGAATGTATATCCAGACGTTTTGGGGAAAAAGCATTCATTCTGTCAATGTCGTTTAGGTCCATTTGTTTTAGAGTCCCACCTAAGTCCATCATTTATTTTCCGCTTGGATTATCTGTCTGGTTCTGTCAGTGGGCTGTTGAGGTTCCCGACAATCATGATGCTGCTGTTTTCTCTCTTTGCTTAGATGTGGTACTGGCACTCCCACACAGGTGTACTTAGGATTGTTACATTTTCCAGTTGAATCGCTCCCTTGACCATTATCATTCCATATTTACCATCATTTTTATCTCTTCTTCTTTCACTAGATTTACTTTGTTGTTCAATTAGTAACCTTTTTTTTTTTTGTGGCATCATAGCTCATAGCAACCTTAAACTCTTGGGCTCAAGTAACTCTCCTGCCTCAGCCTTCCAAGTAACTGGGACTACAGGTGCCCACCACAACACCTGGCCATTTTTTGGTTGGAGCTGTCATTGTTCTTTGGCTGGCCTGGGCTGGGTTTGAACCCGCCACCCTCGGTGCATATGGCCGGCACGGTAACCACTGTGCTATGGGCGCCAAGCCTCAATTAGTAACTTTTTTTTTTTTTTTAAGAGACAGAGTCTCACTTTGTCACCCTCGGTAGAGTGTCATGGTGTCACAGCTCACAGCAACCTCCAGCTCTTGGGCTTAGGCGATTCTCATGCCTCAGCTTCCTGAGTAGCGGGGACTATAGGCGCCTGCCACAGTGCCCAGCTACTTTTTGTTGCAGTTTGGCTGGGGCTGGGTTTTGAACCCACCACCCTCAATATATGGGGCCGGCGCCCTACTCACTGAGCCACAGGCGCCACCCCAATTAGTAACTTTTTAAGAAACTTATCTGCCAAACCAGGAAAAGACACAACAAGAAAAGAAAATTATAGACCCATATCCTCAATGAATATAGATGCAAAAATATTCAATAAGATCCTAGCAAACAGAATCCAGCAACATACCAAATGAATAATACCCATGACCAAGTGGGTTTTATCTCAGGGTCTCAAGGTTGGTTCAATATATGTAAAACTATAAATGTAATACATCACATAAACAAACTAAACTAAAAAACAAAGACCATATGATTCTCTCAATAGATGCAGAAAAAGCTTTTGATAATATCCAGCATCCTTTCATGATCAGAACACTTAAGAAAATAGGTATAGAAGGGACTTTTCTAGGGGCCATCTACAGCAAACCCACAGCCAATATCACATTGAATGGAGTAAACAGAAAAAATTTCCACTCAGATCAGGAACCAGGCAAGGTTGCCCATTGTCTCCACTGCTTTTTAACATTGTAATGGAAGTCTTACCCATCACAATCAAGCAAAAGAAGGCAATCAAGGGTATACAAATAGGGTCAGAGGAGATCAAACTTTTCCTCTTCACAGATGATATGATTTTATACCTGGAAAACCCCAGGAACTCAACTACAAAACTCTTAGAAGTGATCAAGAAATACAGTAGCATCTCAAGATACAAAATCAATACTCACAAATCAGTAGCTTTAATATATACCAAAAATAATCAAGCCAAAAAAAATCAAGGACTCTATTCCCTTTACAGTTGTGCCAAAGAAGAGGAAATATTTGGGAATTTACCTAACAGAGGACGTGAAAGATCTCTATAAAGAGAATTACGAAACTTTGAGAAAAGAAATAATTGAAGATGTTAATAAATGGAAAAACATACCATGCTCATGGCTAGCAAGG